GTGAAATGAATGTATTTTAGAAAATCTCAAACATTTTGACTTAGGATTTTTGTAATTATGTGCATGCGCATGAATGTTTTTTTTATATAATAATCAATTGTTCCCTTAAAATGTAGCTTTTCAGAGTTCAAATTGAGGATTATCTAATATGAAAAATGAAATCACAGGCAAACATAAGCCCACGATGATTCAGGTCCTAGCATAGTAGTTTGTATAAAATTACGGGCAATTTCTTTTGCGTTGTGGACAAATATTGGGCTGAAGCCCATTTTATTGGATGCGGATCATTCATTGCCTCATGACCCATGAAAGCAAACAAGGACTTCTTCGTCTTCTTCTTATGGTTTTTTTTTTTGGTTGAAACAGAAAAAGACTTCAGAATGAACTGTAGAGCTCAACCTAAAGTCTGCATTAGCAAACAAAAAAAAAATGAAATCCAATACGGTTAAAAGAAACATTGAGCTCAGCATCATATTAGCCTGTTTCGTCTCGTAGCGTTCCCAAAAAAAAAAAAAAATTCAGGCCCCATTTGTTAAAATAGAATAGAAAATGGAGTGAGGTAAAATAATAATAATTTAAGATAAAAATACAATACACTCCCTCCTCCCATCCACCATTAGAGGAATTTTTTATTAAAAGATACAAAACAATTTGAGAAAATTAAAGTTTCATTAATGATACTATTTGAATATTATACTTCAAGTGGAGAGAGAATTAAAATGATATTATAATGTAAGGATTAATTGTATACATATATTTTTAAAAGTTTACAATTTTATTTTAAAAAAGTGAGTTTGTAAATTGTTGTATTTTATTGACATGTATAATTTTATTTTAAATTATTTTATAATTTGAGATCGAAGGAATAATAAATATCACGTCTCAATTACAATGCAAGCAATGAAATTGCTTTTTCTTATTTATTGTGCACCTATGTTTTTCTATTAGAAATAATTATATTAAAGAAATTGTTTGGCACTAAACGTGTGTACATTTCTTAACATGAATTTAAACTCTGGTGAATCACTATTTATTAGTGCAATGAAATTTCAATTCTATCAATGCTACCAATAACCAAACTATGCCATAACCCAAAATAAAAAGCAGTCAAAGGAGGCATAAATATTTTGGGATGTTTGGAAGTATTGTCTATAATATTCTCGCAATATTTTTTATTATTATATATATATATATATATATCTCAGTCATTATTAGAAGATATTATTTGATATTATTATATAATTATTAGTCATTATTGTATTGCCTATTTTCTTAATATATATAATGTACCCTTCAAATCAATAATAGTTATAATATTTTTCAATCATTCTCTGGTTTATCTCTTTTATCTCTGATAGCTTTCATGGTACCAGAGCTATATAATATTATTTTTTACGATAAGTTAGTTTTTGAAGAGTTTTAACCTTCATTTGCATCAGTGTTGCCATCCTTCGTCATGAGTTCAAATTCACCTTAAAATTATTTTCACATATCTACGAGGCAATTTAGATAAATCAATGTTTGCAAATTCGTTAACTGTTGGACTATGATAAAATTTGATCAACAGGTACAAAACATCTAATGTGTCATTTTTAACGGTCAAATCATTGATTCGTTTTCTGGTGTGAGAATTATTATGTTCGCACTACAATATCTAGTTTAAGTGTTTTCCAACATTCATTCTCTTTTGTAAGCTTTTTTTCCTTTAAAATGGAACATTCAAAGGTTGCTCAATCTATCTCAATTATTTTGAATGGTTGCAATTACTATCTTTGATTGAAAAAAATGTGATTTTGTTTAGTCTACTTTGGGATTTTCTCTAGTTAAACTTGAAACTTTGCTGTGCACACTCATCTCTAATTCCTTTAGCCCGTCTGCTGCCATACCTACTATCACTGGTAAATCCACTTGGTATTTTAACTTTGCTTATTGCAATCATATGACAGGTCAAGAAAATTTCTTCTCCTTTATGACCCCTAATTCTATTGCTTATCCTATACACACTATTGCTGATTTTAAAATTCTTGTTAGTCATATTGGTATTATCTCATTGCCTTTCATATCCATTAATGATACATATTTTATCCCTTCCATTAACTTCAACCTTTTTTCTATTGGACAACTTATTGATATGGGTTATGACATATTATTTAATAAACACAATTGTGTTGTGATGGATTCTCAAACAAGATAGGTTGTCAAGACTAGGAGCAAAGTTGGTTGTATGTTCGAGCTTATGTTAATGCACCTACCTAAGATTATTACTCTCACATTGTGTGTTGCCTTCATATTCTCTTCTCTTGATTCTTCTCTCAACTTATGGTATCATCGTCTTGCTTAACCTTCTTTAAGTAAATTATGTCCTTTAATTTTCAATGGTCTTTTAAGTCATATTCGTAATCAGTATTTGCAATGCATTTCTTGTCAAATTGTTAAACAACCTGCTTTGTCTTTTCATAAAAATGATTCTATTACTGCTTCTTCATTTGATTTGATTCATTTTAATGTTTAGGGTCCTGCCCCTACTCCCTTTATGAGGGATCCTGATACTTTGTGATTTTGTTGATGATTTTTCTTATTTAGCTTAGATTTATATGATGAAATATGAATCTAAATTACTTGAACTTTATATCAAATTTTCTAAAATGATTCACACTTAGTATTATAAAGTCACCAAATTTTTCTATCATAATAATATTTTGGAATATTGTGATTGTAGATTACTCAGTTTTCTTGATTCTCAAGGTACTATTTTTCAGTATTCTTTTCCTTACACTTCTCAATAAAATGATTGTACTAAGCATAAACATCATTATATTCTTGATTATGTTAGAAAATTGCTCATTTCCTCCTCTTGTCCTAAATGGTTTTGGGGTAAAGTAGGCTTAACCTTTGTCTTTTGTATCAATCAAATCTAATCTCATCTCATGTCATTGATAATATTTCTCCTTTTGAGTGTCTCTATGGTTTCACTTAGGAGTATAGTATTGATTATGAGGAGACTTTTTCATCCATTACTTGTGTGACTTCTATTCGCAGCCTTTTAGTCATTACTGCTATTAAGCACCAGATTCTTCATCATATGGATATTAAAAATGCCTTTTTGAGTGGTAATTTAAAGGAAGAAGTGTATATGAAACCTCTACCTGGATATCAACATTTGAAAAACAAGGTTTTTATCTTTATCAGGCTCTATATCTACTTAAGAAAGCTTCCTGTGCATGGTTTGCTAAATTCAATAACATTATAAGTCAACTAGGTTTCACATGTAGTCCTTATAACTCAGCTCTTTTTGTTCCCTCTATTGCTTGTAGTATTGTTATGTTACTTGTAGTATTGTTATGTTGCTATTGTATGTTGATAACATGATTATCACATGTAGTGATGATATAGGAGTCTATACTTGTAGTATTGTGATTATAAGTCAACTATCACTTTACTTGACAACATGTTGTTCAGAGCACCATTCAACTTGTTTCAATTCAAACTAAGCATCAATTAGCAAATTTGTTCTTGAAGTCCTTTCATCTAGGCCGCTTTCATTTCTTGGTAGACAAATTTAAGTTTCTTTTTGTTAAGCCATCTTGAGTTTGAAGGAGGATGTTATCTATAATATTATCCAAATATCTTCTATCATTGTTGTGCATATATATCAATCATTATTGGGAGATGTTATTTAATATTATTATATAATTATTAATCTTTATTGTATATTGTATTTTCTTGGTGTATATAATATACCTCTCATGTCAATAATGGATACAATATTTTTTAATTCTTTTCTAATTTATCTCTCCTGCCTCTTATAGCTTTTAGGAAGAAAGGTGGTAAGTGATAACTTAAAACAAAACAACCATTTTTGTAATGAAAATGATAAGCGGAAGCCAACTATGGTGTCAAACCAATCACATACCAAATATAGTTTGGCATTTTAAATTTTATTATAGTTTAAATTTGTTTCTTAGGTTGAAATTATTAACAAGGTAGACGCATTGAGGTTAAATTCCCATGAAGCATAAAGCTGGGCTTTGGATGCTTCGGATGATGTCGAGGGTCATTTGAATCCATGCCTACGGATCAGAGTTTTTGTTCATATCCTCTAGCTGTCTGTGCCAACCCACATTTCCACTCATTTTAATTTAATGTCAATTATAATGATAACTATACTCATATGCATACATAATTATCAAATTAATTATATCTATGCATATACATAGTAAAATTATAACATTATGATATCTTTAATAGTATTAGTGTGCTGCGTTTTATCCAATAGGATGTTTGACTAGGTTAGTCAAAAAAAAAAACTATATATAAAATTTTATTTTCAAATTTTTATTTTGTATTTACACTCAATCGTTTTACTTACAAAAATATCAAGTTTATCAAAATTATTATAGTTGAGTTAAAAATGAATTACGAAGAACTTCTTGAAGAAACATTGAATTTGATGGTATCTGAAAAAACAAGTAAAAAAATAGAATTCTGAGATTTAAAGAACTATATTAAAGAATAAAGAGGACATTTTTGAGATTTCACTTATAATTAACATTTAAATTTTAAAATTGAAAAAAGTTTCATGTTTTGAGTTTTAATTTGATTGACTTGATCATAAATTGCCTCACTTATTCTTTGATTTTTGTGCCATACAATTATTACAGATCTTGCATTATAATTAAGAGTTCAGACCAAAAAAAAAAAATAACTAAGAGATATTAAATGCTGGTAAAAAAATTAAGAGGTACTCATTAAATATCGCCATAAACATTTTAAATATTGCCGCCACGTACAAAGTTTCAGGAAAATCAAAACATATTCACTCCATCTCATGCTCTTATTTTTCTCCTCGATTGATTGATACAATTTAAAAAAAAAAATTAAACCTAAATTAGACAAACCAAATGAAAGAAACTATTTACTTCTTCTTTTTAGGAAAGATATGAAGGTTTTTCTTTTTTAAAGGAAGGAAGGATGTAAAGATGAATAAAAGAACAAGGTCATTAACTGGAGTTACAGAAGACATGCAATGGATTTAAGCTTGTAAAAAGATTACAAAGACGAAACACAGCTCATCCAATCAAATCCAAATGTATACAATTAGCTATGCTTCTTTGGTTGAATGATACAAGATTGGATCTAAATCTGATGAAAACAAAATTAATCCTACAACACAAACGGGAAAAGAATCGGAGAAGAAAAATTACAGCATCGAAATTCCCGTTTCATCGTCTTCTTCGTGTTCAAGTTCTCGAATCCCATGCCTTCTCTTGCACTCGAAGTAGAACACCGTCGTCACCAAGTAGCTCCACACCACCGCCGCACCGTATACACACATTATTCCCATTTTACCCGCAGCGCCCATCGAAGATAGAAACTCCGACGACGAAATCGGACCCTCCACCAACTCCTCCATCTTCCCCCGGATCAAACCCGACACCAACAAGAGCAAGCCCGATAGCACCCATCCACAGAACCTCCTCCCCGCCATCAAACCCGACCCAACCTTGATCGCCTCCCAACCGAATCTCTCCTCCGCGATCGACACCACCAGGCCTAAGCTAAGCACCGCCATCAGGTATACCTCTACACCCGATCCGATCGCCAGAAGTATAAATCTCAGCTGCGGCCAGGGTGTTAGCGCGGCCAAAATCCGTTGAAGAAGAGCGAACGCGAGCAGGATTGCGTAGATAAAGATCGTGGTGACCGACGGACGCTTCCAATTTTGTTTGACGGCCGCGGTGGCGGATTGTAGAGTGGGAACCTTGCCATTGTAAGAGAGGACGGTGGCGTGCACAGAGGCTACGGCGGTGACCAGGGAGAGGAGAAAGCAGGGGACGGAGAAGAGGGCTTTGATTCGGAGGAGGTAGATTGCATCTTCGCGGGACTCCGTCCATACGTGCCGGGCTTCAAATCGGGTCGGGGCAAGGAGGGCGACGGCTTCGAGATGGTAGATTTTGTAGCGAAGGTGGCAGGTAGAGAGAAAAACAGAGAATATAAGGAAGGAGAGAGGGACAGACACGAAGAAGAAGATAAAGAAGAAAAGGCGTTTGGTTCTGAGGAAAATTTTCAGAGAGTCGAAAACGATCTTCAACGGGAAAATACAACACCAGAATAGACCACGGACTTTGGCTCCTCCACACATTTTCTCGTTCTCTCTCTCCCTCTCTATCTCTCACCCCCGCACTCTCTTTCCTATTTTAGTTCACACTCATTAATTTCTTTTTCTGGGGCTTTATTGTTATTGGTATAGAGATTGAGATTAGTGCAGTACATTTTTTTTAATGAAGGCACCTGATGGGCTGCTTTTAATTCCTCTTTGGTTGATTGCTGTTACACACACACATATAATTAGTTAATTTTAATTACGGTGGACAACTGCATTAGAACTGTTAAACATAGTGTCCAAAGCCAAATTTGGCGACTCTTGCGATGTTTAGAAGCCAATCAGATGACGGCTAAGCAGTACTTTAAAACTCTGGGTTTTTTTTATTTGGTAAACAGGTGGATCACGAATGGTATTTGTTTCGGCTGTTCGTTAATATTTTCTGGATTTAACTACTATAAACAAGTAATCTAATCCATATATAACTATATATTTTTCCTCTTGGCCTTTGGGAGTTTAGATTTACTTGAGTTGAGAAAGTTAGTTTCGTGATAAATTAAAATTTATTTTTTTTAAAAAAAAAAAGATGGTTATGTTTAGCATCTAACAATGTTTTGAATATAATTATCTTTATTAGGGAAATTCCAGCAAATAACAAAAAATATAGGGTTATTAAAGTTGGGTTAAATTACTAGATAGGGATGAGAAAGCAGCCGCCATGTTGAGAAATCAACGGTTGAGGAGTTCGGTGAGAATCTGTCACGGGCCGCCATGAGCAAGCAGCCTAAGATTATAACAAAATAAATATGGAAGAGAAAGACGGTTTGTTCTCAAAGGCTTCATTTCTCTTTTCTCTTTTTAGCACAATCTCTGTGTCATAGACTTTTTACTCCAGTTGGAGTTTATGATAGAACCATAATTAATGCACTTCATAATACTCCATCCAACATATTTTACAAGATATTTTTTATTTAATTTAATATTTTAAAATATAAGATGTTTTGAAAAAAATAAAATTTTATTAATGATAATTATTCTAATATTATTTCTTATTATTTCAACCTTTAAATAAATTTTATCCCCCCATCTCTTGTTAATAAAGGGTATTTTAAAATTTTTAAAAAAATTAAAATTGTAAATTCTATTTATATGTCAGTGGTATATGTAATTTTACAAATCAAATCGGAATAGAGTGAGAGTGTACATACTTTCATGACAACACAGGAGTTTTATTTAAATGGAATATCTTCCCTATTCCCACACATTTTCTTTCTCCTTGCGCCTATTATGTAGTATGCTTAAAAATATAAAATATTTTAATAAAATTTTACTCATAATAAAATAGTTAATTATATTTAAACTAACATTATTTTTCATGTTTGCCCATATTTAATAGGGTATCTCACTTTAAAGTAAATATAAAATAATTTATTTATTACTTTTAAAAAAATAAATTAATTTTATAAGTTTGGCTCTCAATTTTATAATTTTATTGTGATGAATTTATAACTTATTTTTTAAATTTTAGTATGGTTAAAGAATAAATAAATTTATTTTTTAAAAATTTAAAATATAAATTATAAATTTATTATAATGAAGTTACAAAATTAAGAATCAAATTTGTAAATTCATAAAGTTTGGCACTTAAAAATTTATCAAATGTTACTTTGAATTAATTGATTTCCTTAGGAACATTTGTCATTCTCCCAAAAATGATTGTAATTAAGGCATTGACTAAGTAATGAACTGACATTATTGCCATTACCAGCCCAAAAAAATTATTAATATTATAAGTCCTAAGTCTTCCCTCTTAATCTTGAAAGGTCCAAATTTATTTTTTTAATTTTATATTTATCAAAATAAAAAGGAAAGAATTTTAAATAAGAATTAGGAATATGACTTGATTACTAGCAGGTGTCAAAAAATTTTAAAATTTTAATTCAATCCAAGGGGTAAAAATAAAACAATTTCAATTGTCAAAAAATTAAAATATCCTTAACTTATTATATAGTATCACTAGTTATTAATTTTCTTACTTTATTTGTTAATTTACTAATATAAATTGAAAATTATGGAAATAAGATTTCAAAATTTTGAGACCTACTAGTAATTAAGTTACATCCTAGTCCTTATTTAAAATTTTCTCAATAAAAAAATTATATATATGAAAAAAAAATTTGTTCACTAGTCTACGCAATCCAAATTTAATATAAATGGCCTAAATTTAATATTAAGAATTTAAAAATTAATATTAAATCTACACTATTTAGAATATATTTAAACAATTAATTTATAAAAATTATAAAAAAAATAAAATTAAATATGTACTATTCAAATTAAATTTGGACTATTCAAACTGTTAAACATAATTTATTAATTTTTTTGTAATTTATATAATTTTTTATTTTGATAAATATATAAAAAAAAAGTAAATCTGGACTATCTATATTAAACCTCTTATCATTGTATGTACAATGTTACATCCCACTTTAAAGGGACTTAGAGAAGGTCTTGAATATGCAAGCAGGTGTGTTGTACATTTCAATAGGTTAGCCTTTTAAAGAAAAAATAATAACCCTGTGACAACAAAGAGGCTTACGCGGAGGGAAGCCAAGTCCTGTTAGGCCTTGTTTGATATGAGGTATTGGGATGTAAGAATTGGCATTGGTATTGAGATTGCCCAATTTTTTCATGTTTGGTATAAGTGATTAGTCAATCTAGTACCAACCCCAATCCTATCTAAATGGGATTGCTCAATACTAGGTACCCCCTGGTGTTGAAAAAACAATCCAAGGATTGATTTTATTAGGACATAAATGCCCTTGCCTCTAACCTTTGTCCTTCCCCAGATCAACTTTCATCCTTCCTTCTCATTGATGACAAGCCTCACTTTGTCAATGGCAACGCAAGTGTGTTCGAGATGATAACCATCGACGATAAAAAACCATTAACTAGACAAAGAAGTAAGGGGGAGCAAAAGAAAGAGATGTGGATTAGACGTACCATAACCATCGAGGGGAGAAGGACAACATTAACCCATCAATGACAAATACCCATTGATGGCAAAGTGCCGTTAACCATCGATGATCGATCGACTTTTGATTTGTGTAGAGAAGGAGAACGACGAACGTAATGGAGAGAAGCATATGAGAGTGAGAGAGCTAGTAGGGAATGATTTGGCCGACCCATTAGTGACAAACCACAATCGATTGTCCTAGGAAGTAAGCAAGGAACCACACTTAGCAACAACATGGTGAGAAGGGGAGGGAGGGAGTTCGATCGTGACAAAGAAAAAAGAGTTGTAAGGTTGTAATTTTTTTTAATTAATTATAAAGGGTATTATATCTTTTTATAATTTATGTTTAATTATAAAATAAAATAAAAGTAAATATTCTTTATAATTATTACCTCATACTAAATATAATTTTAAAATCTCATTCCTACTTTCAATCTCAATTCCTTTGAATTAGGGCCATTTACCAAACAAGGCCTTCAAGTATATCATTTTCCCTTCAACATAGCATGTCCCTAGTGCTTTTTGACATCAACCCAAGTCCCCACAGGTTCTGTCATTCACACCCCCTCCCCGCAAATTCTTCGTTCTAGTTAAAGTGGCAACATATTAGGTGAAACAGTAACACAACCATGCTATCCATCTTTACTTGCGTCTTCCAATGGACAGTAAGCGAAGAAACAAAACTTTGACTTGCCTCAAGCAACCCTAAAGATTCAGAAAAAATATCAATGATCCTACTTCACTCTATTTAAATAAATCTTCAACAAGCCTCACCAAACCAACTTAAACATGAAGCAACCAACTTAATGCACAATTATAAAGCCAGTCATTTGAACAGTAAAAAGTGTGTTATATATTAACCACCTGCAGGAAGCAAATAGCGCTCGGATTTCATTACAGCAGCCACACATCAGTTGCTGAGAGGAACAATCCATTATTTTATCAATCAACTTATTTTTGGTGCCATAATAAAAAATCATGATTGGCCATATGTGAGATATAATGTGAACTGCAAATTCAGCTAGTTGCACAGTTGCTCCCTGCTTAAAAACAGCTGCTACAATCAACAAGTGGGGGCCAAATTAAATATAAGCTTGATGTGCCAATACGGTAACGAGGATTACCACTACAACCACATAACCGTAAGACCTCAACAGAAGAAGATGAAAACTACATAGAGTTTCCGGCGAGAACAGCATAAATATTCTCTCAACCTTTTCTTGTAAAAAGATAAGTAAGATGGAAACATCCACTCTTTCAGACCTATTTAACCAAATTCTGTAACCAGCTTCCACAGATGATCAATCAGAAAGACCATAGACCGCATAGTAATACGCCTAAAACCTTTTATCATTGTATAGCATGTCATAGTCAATAATTGGCACCGAAAGGGATTAGCTCAAGTAGGTAAATAAGTTCATGCCTCTCTTCATCAACTTGGGTTATAGTCCTAGAAACACTTAGGAAAATAAATTCTGAATACCCCATGGGGGATGGGAGAGCATGACTTTAAAGTGTGGCTGATCCAAGAGAAAAGGTGTGCTTGGATGGATTTGAAATGGATCAGAACAGAATGAAATGGCTAAAGTTTTTTTCAGCCATTGGATCTGGCGGATGAAGGATGAAATGCATCCCCATTGGCTAAAAACTTGCAAGTTACTCCATTCCATTAATGGATGACTCCCTCTGCTGCCACGTTATAATTCCAAAACAATAGAATGACAAGTGAATTACATTCCATCTTAATTCTATCAGTTGCCATTTCATTCCCTTCCCTCACATCCTCCGAAACATAGCCTTCAGATTGTTGAAGGAGGGGATTCAAGCTGGACAAGATCCAAAGAATACTACTTACTCTGGTAGTGGTAGCTGACCGAGAAAAGAAAAATCAGCAATTGTCAGATAATGAGAGTTAAAAACCAGAAGCGATCAACAAGAAGTTTTATGGTGAACAGATGAGTCTTCAACGGTTCATCCAGACTCAAGAATTTATAGAGTCAGGAGTTTACACAAACATTTATAAACTACGATTCTTACGCAAACTTCATAACGCTTTTTGCAAGCAAACGAAA